GGTTTCATGAAGCTGTAATGGATAACACCAGCGCTGGACCACCAAGCAGACACCATTAGCTTTTTTTGGATGAATATTCGGTTTTGGACTGTGTTTCAGCACTTCATTTTTATCCAGCCATTGTGCCGAACACTTGTGATTGTCAAAAAGAATCCATTTTTCATTGCACGTAACAATACAGTGTAGAAATGGTTTGCCTTTATGTCATGACAGCAAAGAAAGGCAAGCTTCGAGATGATTTCTTTCTGATGCCCGTTTAATTCATGAGATACCCATCTATCCAGCTTCTTTACCTTGCCAATTTATTTCAAATGGTCCAATATTGTTGGAATAGTAATGTCAAACCTTATTGCTAATTCATGCGTAGGTTGAGTTGGATTCTCTTCTACTACATCATTATCCACCTGGGTCTCAGGTCACCCACATGGCTCATTTTCAAGATTAAAATCACCAGAACGCTCGTTCTGGAGACAACCATTGTTAAAAAAAAAGAGAGAGAGAGAATGAAAGAAAATAATAATAATAAAAAAAAAGTCACCAGAACGGAACTTCGGGAACCATTGATGTACTATGCGTTCATTGGCCACATCCTTCCCAAACACTTCACTGATATTTTAAGCTGCGTGCACAGCATTGGTTCCATGAAGGAACTCATATTTGAAAATAACACGAATTTTTTACTTATCCATGGTTTCACAAAAATTGCTATAAAAATTTTAAAGATAATCACAAGCCAAAAACCATGCGTTTGAAAGAATGAAGAGGTATCTTCACAATAAAAATAAAACAAGAAGTGTCAAAGTGAAAATGTCAGAGATATCAACTGTCAAACTTAGTACTCAAGGAAATCAGACATTTCATACTTAATGGCTATATATATTACATATATGTATGACTTTATATATATGACTCTATATATGTATAAGTCTGTATATAGATGGAGAAAGAGAGAGAGAGGTATTTTAAGGAATTGGCTCATACAGTTGTGGAGGCTTGGTGAGTCCAAAGTCTGATGGGGTTGGCTGACAGGCTGGAGACTGAGGGAAGAGCTGCACTTTGAGTCCAGAGGCTGTCTGCTGGCAGAATTCAATCTTGCTGGGGGAAAGTCAGTCTTTGGTCTATTAAGGCCTTCAACTGATTAGTCGAGGCCCACCCACATTACAGAAGGTTATCTGCTTTACTCAAAATCCATTAATTTAAACGTTAATCTCCCTTCACAGAAACCTCCAGGATATTGTTTGACCAAATATTTGGGCACCGTGGCCCAGCCAAGTTGACACATAAAATTAACCATCATGGTTATGCTACATCAGGTTAAGTAAATGCCCTAATTTATTACGAGCTTTTCATAAATTCTGAGTTCGTGTTGAATTTTCTCAAGCAATTACTTTTATATTGTTGTTGTTCTCCTTTGGTCTGTACATTGTTCAAAAATTTGTAAGTTTTTTAATATACAACCATTCTTGCATTGTTGAGATGACTCCAACTTGATCAGGAAATGAAAAATATCTCTCAGTCCAGCTTGTTCACCATTCCCACTGCCCCAGTCTGTGTTGAGCAGGGGGCAGAGTGCCAGCCCCATCCTGGGACTGGTGGTGACAGACAGACAGCCTGCTGGGTCTTCCTGTCTCTGCTGGTTGTCTCTGGGTCTGGCCCGGCAGGGGCCCACAGGCTGTGGGAAGAGCATTGTGCAATTTACACGGGAGCCCTGGGTTGGGGCCTGACAGTGGCTCATACAATCGTGAGGCATGATGAGTCAAAGTCTGACGGGGTTGGCTGACAGGCTGAAGACTGAGGGAAGAGATGTACTTTGAGTGCAGCTACAGTCACAGTCCTCACCCGATCAGGGTGGGGCTACCAGGGCCTCCTGGCCCTCGAGTAGTCAGGGGGCCTGGGGTGACAGCGGCTAGCCGGGGATCAGAGTATGAGACAAACACACTCACGTGGCACGTATGGCCTTGAGCTTCAGCCTGGCCCACTCTAGGGGCTGCGTGGAACTCTCCTCAGCCATCTGTCTGGCTTTATCGAAAGTTCCCCAAATGGAAAGAGTCTCTTTTTCTACTTGCACCCTCTCTCACTGTCCAGAGCAGAGGTGTCTGGAGTTGGCCAAACCCCAAGGTTGGGGGCATAGTCCTCCAGACTGCCACATTTTCCTGGGACTTCTGACCCTCTCTGTACCATCTGAGGGAACAGTCCCAAGACTGCCCTGACTTCAGTCACCAGCTGCAAGTTCAGGAGTCCCCTGGACCACCTTCTGTTCAGATCAGCTGGCTGCAAATTTGGGGGTGCTGGCACCCACCCTCAGGTTCAATAATTTGCTAGGATGACTCACAGAACACAGGAAAACACTAAACTTACAATCATAATTTTATTATAGTGAAAAGATACAAATTAAAATCAGCTAAAGGAAGAGACACACAGGACGGAATCTGGGAGCAGTCCAATCGCAGAGCTTCCAGGCAGGCATCGTCTCCCTGTAGAGTTCTGGGCAGTATCACCTCCTCCTGGCCACAAAATATGATGATACGCACAGAGCACTGTCCACCAGGAAAGTTGAGGCTCAATCAGATACTGCTCATGTGACTGACCTGTAGTCTCCAACCCTTCCTGGAGGTCAGGCTAATACTCTTAATCTTTAGTTCCTCTGGGTGGCCAAAGTCCCCTAGCAAACAAAGACACTGTTGTCCGACAGGACATTCCAGGGCCTGGAGATCACCTCCCTGTAGGCAGAGAGGCTAGACCTCTCTTTGGGTGAGGTTGATTCTTCACTAAAAATAGGACATGTTACGAAGTCAGCGTCTAAAGATGCTGAGTGCTGTAGTGGTCAGAAACCTGGGCATTGCTTCCAGAAACTTCCAGTTCCAGTTCTGGCTTTGCCACTTGGAGGTTAGTGATCTTGAGCAAGTTGCTTAACCCTGTTGGTGCCACCCGCCAAAGATGGCTGGGAACATCCCAGTAGTTGAACAAATTTAGGTTTATTGGTACTTGTTGCAACTAAGGAGACTGCATACATGGAGGGTTGCAGTAAGTAGTGTGTGTGTTGGGGGTGTGTCTTGTAGGATTGTATGAGGTGATTTGAAGAAATGTTTAAGGGAGTAAAGTTTTGCTCTGGCTTGGGTGCTGTCAGGAAATGGGGGCAATTCTACAATTGGATATCTTCATAAGTTTTATCTAGCAGGTGGGGGAACAGGACAGGGCTAAAAAGCTGTCATTGGTGAAGAAACAGCCATCTCTCATGTGAAATAGGAGAGGTAATGTTGGGCCATTTTTGTGGCTTCACAGTGCTTGTGCTTTTGTCTGTGCTCAGACTTACTTATGGCATGGCTTTGTTTCTGTCTTGCTCCATCACGGTTGCATAGTGACCCTGTGCGACACTGGTGCTCTGTGAAGCATCTGTGTTCATCAGGAGGACATTATGGCCCAGCAGCTGGTGCCAGGTCAGCTCCCAGAGGACCGAGTCAGGGGATACTTTTTTCCTTTCTCACCCCTGAGTTTCATCATTGATAACACGGAGATAATACCACCTAACACATTAGACAGCTGTGAGAATTAAGGGAAATAATATAAAATGCCTGGCATAAAATAAAATACAACAGTCAGTATGTTGTTAAAAACATAAGAGATTAGTATAAAATGGGGAAAATGGAGAAGCAAAATAAAGCCAAATATGGATGAGGCAGAGGAAAGAAAGGCCCTGAGAGAGGACATCGGATGAGGGTAACCCCTGAGCCGAGGTCTGTCCTGAAGCTCCCACTGTGACCCCCCCATACCCTCCCGCAGGGCCCAGGTAGCCACAGTTGTGTGTGTGTGTGTGTGTGTGTGCATGTGTGTGTGTGCGTGCACACATGCATGCCCTTAAGTGAGGGAGGTAAGAAATGTTCCCTCAATACATAAAAAGGATTATATGCCACAATTAAGCAGAATTTGTCCCAGGAATACAAGGATGGTTTAACATCCAAATATCAATTAATGCAATATGTCATATTAATAGAACACAGGATAAAACCCACACGGTCATCTCAATAGACACAGAAAAATAATTTGACAAAATTTAACACCTTTTCATAATAAAGGGAACTTCCTCACCCTGATAAAGGATGTGTAAGAAAACCCACAGCTAATACCCCACTGAGTGGTAAAAGACATAACACTTCCCTCCAAGTATCAGGAGCAAGACAAGGATGTGTGCTTTGGCCATGTCTATTCAACATTGTGCTGGAGGTTCTAGTCAGGGCGATTAGGAAAGAAAACGAAATAAAAGGCACTCCCGTCAGAAAGGAAGAAGCAAATTATCTCTATTTGCAGAAGACATGATCTGTCTATAGAAAATTCTAAGGAATCCACAAAAAAGTATTAGGGCCAATAAACAAGTTCAGCAAGATTGCTAAATACAAGATCAGTATAGAAAAATCAATTGTATTTCTATAAAATGTCAATGAATAATCTAAAAATGAAATTCAGAAAATAATTCCATGTATAACATCATCAAAAAGAATAAAATACTTAGGAATAAATTTAACTAAGCAAGTACAAGACTCATATGCTGAAAGCAGGAGGCTGCAGCAGCAGGGTAGAGGGGAGGGGAGGGAATATGTCTGGGACATACTGTGATTTCTGATGCCTGAAGCCACCTGTCAGGTCAGACCATCTCCAGCCCTTCCTGTCCCTACTCCTGATCTGACACCTCCAGCTTGCACCCCAAACCCACTCTGCTCAGGCGTGAAAGTGGTTATGTGTAAAAGTGTATCTGGTTGAACCAGCCGTTCTACACACTGGCCTGGTGAAAAGTTTATTTTCAACTCTTCTCAAACCAGCCACGAACATGAGGGAGAACTTCGGGTGGAGTGCAGCCCCCTCTGGGCAGTGACACCGGCTGCAGAGGTGGCCCAGGCCTGTGAGAGCCCAGAACTCCAGCCATGGAGGGTGTGGCTGTGCCCAGGGGCAGATTGGGTTAAGCCCCCAGTCCCTGGAGCTCAGGGCCCTGGGGACTCTGAGCAGCCTCAGGTCTGCGTCCCTGGAAGCCTTCGCTCTGGGGCTCTGTGCTTCAGTGCAGTCCTCAAGGCCTGCAGGATGGCGCCCTCGCTGTTCCGCACGTTGTAGTCGCTAAGCCGCAGCAGGCGGTCAAAGTCTTCCTCCTTGTAGGTCATGTTGAACAGGGCATAGGGGGAGGTGGCCGTGGTGAGATCCACTTGGCCAGCCTGGAGCTCTGCGGGGCTGCGTGGGACACCTGCCAGGAGTGGGAGGGGATCAGGAGAGGGACACAGAGGCCCCCACAGCTGGGCAGGACTAAGCTTGCAGCAGGGGCCCGGGGGAGGGCTGCTCCCCACTGGAGAGGCACTTGCTTTTCTCCCCGCTCCCTGTGGCCTTTGCCCAGAAATACAAATGTGGGGAGTAGGGTAGTCTTTGGAGGTATGAGGAGTAGCTGCTCCCACATTTTCTTGAGGCATGCATGACACTTCTTCCATTACCCGGGCAACCCCACGGTATCTGTACATTGCTTCAGGGTAAGGTGGAAACAGCCAGAACAAGGAAGTCAATTGGGTTAGCGAATAGATTCTCAAAGCTCATAGTGGAAACAAGGGGGCTTCTGCTTTGCAAGAGGCAGTCTTTGCTGATAGAGAAGTTCTTTGGAATTCCAAGATGTGGGCTGAGCATGTTAACAGTAAAGTTGGAAGATTTGGAATTGTGGCGGCAACTAGAAGGCTGGGAATAATGCACAAAGGCAGAAATTAGTTTTCCCACCAAAAGGAGATAAAATTCTGACCAGTCGGTGAGAGTAAAAGGTAGGATGGAATATGATGAGGGTTTAGATTTCAGGGGCCCTTGAGAAGGGGTCCCGGGCTGGGCTGGGGCAGGACGGGAGAGAAGCCAACTGAACCCCTCACAGAGCAGGAGGGCAGAGGAGCCCAGGGGTCGCCAAGGGTACCAGGGGAAGGGGAGGCCAAAGGAGGCTGGGGTCATGACAGAGAGGACAACAGCACAGTGACCTTGTAAATAGAGGATGCTGCAGGGACATGGGCATCAACGACAGAGGCCAGGGCAGGTGTCCAAAGACGAGGTGGGACTGGCTGCCTGGCAACTGGGGAGGGGCTGCCTCACCAGGGGCTGAGTGGTCCTTGAAGGAGTCATTGACCAGCGGGAAGTGCAGCAGGACAGGGGCCTCGGGGCAGGCGGGGTCCGAGAAGAGGTGACACTCCCTGGGCTGGCGTTGGTCCTGAGGGCTGGGCTCCACTCGGGGGAAGGGCAGCCCCTGGGCCCGGCAGTACAGCTCAGTCTGCTGCAGCGCCTGGTGGGGAGAGGGCGGCCCGGAGAGAGCCAGGCCAGCCCAGATCAGTGCTGGGACGGTTCCAGCCCAAGCTGGCTGCCTTGGTGTTAAGACAACAACCTGGTTCTGTCCTGTTCATGGCCCAGCTAGGCTGCATAGTGCCTTGGAGGGAGACCTGGAGGGAGTACGAGGATCCCTGTGGTCTGCAACATTGTTTAAAATCTTTAGGTGGAACACAGAGCCAGCACCCTCCCCCTCCATTCTGGACTGCTATTGCTGCATTAGTCAAGTCCCAGAGCCGAGAGGACCTCGGTAGGGGACCTACATCTGCGCACAGTCCCCAGGGGAGGTCTGGGGGGCTGGATGTGGAGATGCCCAGGGTCCCCTCTCAGCTCTGTCTAGCTGTCTCTCTTTGGAGCAGGTGTGGAGAGGTCTCCCTTCCTGTTCACCTGTCCTGAGAGCCCAGGGCCCCAGCACCACACAGCTCTTCCCAATCGAGGACCCTGGCAGAAGCCAGTGGATCAGGGCCTGTCACCCCTCCTTCCGTTCCTCCCTCTGGGGACCTGGGAGGTGTGGGGCAATGGCTCAGTGGCCCTGCTGCCTGCCCCTGGAGCTTGGCTTGGCTGAGCAGAAGGGTTCCTGTGGGGTGACCAGAGGCACCTCAAAGGGCGAGGACAGGGAGTAGTCGAAGGACAGGATGAGGTCCAGCCTGCGGCCTGGCCGGAACATGGAGGGACAGCTGGTGTTGATGAAGTAGGAGGGGTCCACCAGGCAGAGCTGGGGCTCCTGGGGCGTCAGCTGGCCAGGGGTGGAGTCTAGTTGAGTGTCTGGTGGGAGAGGCAGTGACAGTCAGAGGCAGCCACCCTGCCACCAGTCGTCCACCTGCACTTACCTCCACGTCCCGTTCTTGCCTTTGGGTCACTCCCTGAAAGCACATGTGGCCCCAACCCTTCCCCAGGACCTCCCAAGGGGATCTTCTCCAGGCCACACCCCAGAAGTAGACGCTGCGACCCCCAAGGCCTCTGCCAGTGCCTAGCCATGCCTCATCCCACCCTGGAGCCCAATCGTGTTACCTGGGTACCCAAGGGGATAGCCCTTACCTGCCCAGGTGGAGAAGTCTTTCTGGCTGCAGTAGTCCTGGTGCAGCTGGAGGCCCCGGAGGAAGTTGGGGCTGCGCTGGTGGAGCGGCCTGCCTGTCAGGAAGCCCTTGAATGCCTGGGCCAGTGCCGTTCCCGGCTGCAGCCACAAGGCATCCAGCCACGAGGAGGTCCCCGAAGAGGCCGGGGGCTCCTTCTCTGCAGCCAGAGAAACAGACCTTGGTCTAGGGGAGACCTTGAAATTCCTGGCCCACCTTCCCCTCAGATGCCCCCTAACCAGAGTCCGAAGGAGCAGCCCCATTCCACATTCTCCCAGCACCCCTTGCCCACCTATGTTCCTCATCTTGTCCTTGATGTACCGCTTCCAGGCCTCCCCAGAGCTGGTGAGGTCATACCAGGCGTCCAGCAAGTTCAGGGAGTAAATGTTGCTCCAGATACCTGAAGGCCAACCCCCAAGAGAGGTCAGCCCTCAGGCCCCAGCGCCCTGCCTCCCACCACCTGGAAGCCAGTGGCCCCACCCTTGGGTGCTGGTGGAAAATGGGAGCGGGGAGAGGGCTGCCCTGGCAATGGCCCTTCCTCACCGCCCAACCCCGCCCCTCGTCCTGGGGCTCTGCCCAGACCTGGCTACAGGAGCCATGACCATCCAGAGCCCTGGCCTGCACTGGTCAGGGCCTTCCGAGTGACCACTCACTCTCACCTTCCAGAAAGCAGATCCGGGGCTCAGGGCGCCTGCTCATCAGCCGTCCCATAAAGAACTCGGAGCCAAAGAGCTCAGGAGGGATGAAGGCTCCGTACTTCAGGAACCCGATCTCGTAGGGGGAGAATTCGACCCACTCTGATGGGGTGGGAGGGAGAGCGGGAGTGTTAGGAGACTGAACTGGGGGAGGCTCAGCTTAGGCGGGGTCAAAGATACTGCCCCCAGCAAGCCTCAGCCCCCCTCCTGCCCGCACGAAGAGCAGCAGAGGTGAGGAATGCGCACACTGGGCTGACCACCCCCACCCTGCCTTGTCTACATTCTCAAACACCCCTCACCCCAGGGACAGAGAGCTCCCCTGGGTGGCCCCTGAGCCCATCGGCACCACCACCCTTCCAGAAGATGGGTCAATCTGGGCAGGGGTCTCCAGTTTGAATTCTCTGGGGACTCTCAGAGTGCAGAGGATTTGGGGGTGGTATATGGTGAAGGGTGGAGTGGACAGGACTGTACCCTTGAAGTCGAGCGTCTCCAGATTGTTCTCCTTGACATTGAGGCCCAAGTAGAGAGGCAGAGGGTTCTGACCCCGCTCCAGTGCGGCTCTCTGCCCTGACAGCTTCTGATCCATCACCTGTGGTCAGAGGGAAAATTTGTACTTTTACTGCAAATGCACAGCTTCTGCCCTGGGGAAAGTTTTGGAAAAGGGTCAGCACACCCCTCCATTTACTGAAACAGCACTCAGTGTACCCTTTAATAGTTCACCAGGAAGCTGTGGCAGGACTCAGTCTCTAGCCCCCCGGTCCCAAATGAGTATCCCCAACCCTGCAGAACACCATTCTGATGACTGAAGGTCCCAGGGGAAACCCTGGAGCTTGGTATGGTGTTGGCAATGTGTTGTGGTTTGAGTATTGTGTGTGGTAGACTACAGAGTATGCAAAACCTGTTGTTCAGAGTTGAAGGAAAATATGCAAGATCTTCCTAACTGAGGAAAAGATAAGGAGAAAAACTCTTAAGTTTCGCCTTGTGGAATGGTAAGTAGCTTCTAAGCAGTTCAGTACTGGCCAGCAAAAGATTAAAGAAAATAGTCTCAAAGAGATAGTTTGAGAAGCTCAGGCTATAACTGGTGTATTTTACAATCAGGTTTTTATAAAAACTGAATCAATATTAGAGACATATACAGACTAATAAAGTTGTTCTGAGTAAAGTTTTAGGGTGTGATATTTCTTAATATTAATATTAATGAAATTGTGATTTGTCATGAATGGAGTTATAGTTTCTGAAAATTTTAAATGATTTTTTGTACTTCGGATTAGAGATAACATATACCTGTTTTTAGCTATAGACTTTAAAAATTAGAAATAACACAAAAATTATCTGAATAAAAGATTATTTTTAGAAGCCTGCAATGAATGTTATTTGTAAGAGGTAAGGCATAATAACCAAGAAGAAAAGAAACAATAAATAAAAAACATTTCATATTGGGACAAAAATTTTAAAACAACATAAAGGCTCATTTTTAAGAATATATAGATGCCCAATAATATCACAAGAATTTCTATTTTCATGAATAATACAAAACTAATTAAGTTTGTGTTTTAAAAAATGACTATAAGCATTATGCATAGAACCATGAGTGAAGTCATTACTGGCAGATCAAATGATAATTAAATAAAAGTCTTCTTTATAGCCTAAGATCAAACTGCAATTTCCAGTACCTTGTAAAGTGAACTTTTAAAACAAGCTTCTCCCACTCTACAGTAATTAATTGTTGCCACCAGGCAGAAAAGTCAGTTATTAAAACACAACACCTTCAACACCAAATATGAACTTAAACAGTAGATCCAAAGAATATACAGGACATAGTAATAAAATAAAAATATTTCAAGTAGTTAAGTTGGTTTTATAAATTCAGTGCCATGTCAGTCAAAATCCCAACTACATTCATCACAAAACTTGATAAACTGATTTTATCATGTAATTAGAACAGCAAAGGGCCAAGCACAGCCAAGAGAATTCTGAAGAACAACCCAGGTGCAGCTGAGGGTAAACTTACCCCACCAGATAACAGGATTTATCCCAAAACTATAGTAATTAAGTCCCTGTGCTGTTGGCATAGAGATAGAGAATCAGTCCTGTTAGAAGGGAAGAGAGTGCCCAGCAAGAGTCCCATGAGTACAGGACACCTGACACATAACAGAAGCAGCAATGCAGATCAGTGGAGAAATAATTCAATAAATGAGACTGGGAATATTTTCTATCCATATGAGAAAAAAATAAAATTGGATTCTCATGCATGTGATATCTGAAGATAAATTCTGGGTGGATTAAAGTCCTATTTGTAAGAAACAAATCCCTAAAACTTTTATAAGAATATATAGAAAGGTATTTTACAACTTTGGGGGAGGGGAAAGGAAAACGCCCCAAAGCACAAACCATAAAATAAAATAATGATAACTTAGATTATATTAAAATTGTGCATTAAAACCATTATAACTGATAAAGGATTAATATCAAGAATATATAAAGAATTCCTACAAAACAATATGAAAAAGACAAATTAAATTGGAAAATGGAAAAGGATTTGAGTAGGTAATCCATGGGAGAGGAAGCACAAATGACAAATATACTTGAAAATATGAATAGTTTCACTAAAAATCAAAGAAATGAAAAACTATGATAAACTTTCCTTTCATACCCATAGTTGAACAAAAATTCAAAATTCTGCAGAAGATGTAGAGAAAAAAGAAATTATTATACACTGGTAGTGGGAGTGTGAATTAATACAACTCCTTTGGAGAACAGTTTGGCAATAGCCAGGGAAGTTGAAGGTGCATGGACCCAATGGTTGAACAATTCTATTACTGGGTACATATCTTGGAAGCTTAGAGAATCTCTAATATGTGTGTATAAGGAGACTTGTATAAAATTGTTCATGCAAATAATATTATTTTTTCTTAAGGATAGATATATTAAAATTATGTGAATTGGAAAACCTAGAAGAAATGGATAAATTCCTGAAAACACACACCCTACCAAGATTGAACCATGAAGACTCAGAAAACCTGAATAGACCAATAACAAGTAATGAGATTGAAGTGATACAAGGTTACAATGAGCTATGGTTGTGCTGCTGCACTTCTGGCATGGGCAACAGAGTGAGACCCTATCTCTAAAATAAATTTATTCATTCATTAAATTAAATCAAAAAAGAAAAACCTGAAGATTCCACCAAAAAACTCTTAGAAGTGATAAATGAATTCAGTAAAATTGCAGGATACAATATCAACATACAAAAATCTGTAGTGCTTCTATACATTAATAGCAATCAATCTGAAAAAGAAATCAAGAAAGCAATCCCATTTACAATAGCTACAAAAAACAAAACAAAACAAAACAAAACAAAACAAAACCCAAAAATACCTAGGAATAAATTTAATGAAAGAAATGAAAGATCTCTACAAGGAAAACTATAAAACACTGATGAAAGAAATTGTAGAGGACCCCCCAAAAAGAAAAGATATTCCATACTCATCATGCTCATGGACTGGAAGAATTAATACCATTAACATGTTCATATTACCCAAAATGATCTGCCAATTCAATGTAATCCTTATCAAAATACCAATGACATTCTTCACAGAAATAAAAAAAAATCCTGAAATTTATATGGAACCAAAAGACTGTATATAGCTAAAGCAATCCTGAGCAAAAAGAACAAAGCTGGAGGCATCATACTTCCTGACTTCAAATTATACTACAAAGTCATAGTAACCAAAACAGCATGGTACTGGCATAAAAACAGACACATTGACCAATGAAACAGAATAGAGAATCCAAAAATCAATCTATGCATTTACAATCAACTCACTTTTGACAAAGTCACCAAGAACATACACTGGGGAAAGGACAGTGTCTTTAATCAATGGTGCTGGGAAAACTGGATATCCATATACAGAAGAGTGAAAGTAGATACCTATCTTTTATCATATAAAAAATCAACTAAAATGGATTAAAGATTTAAATCTAAGATCTGAAACTATGAAACTACTAGAAGAAAACATTGGAGAAACACTCCAGGATATTGGGCTAGGCAAAGACTTTTTGGATTAAGACCTCAAAAGCATAGGAAAGAAAAGCAGAAATAGACAAATGGGATTACATCAAGCTTCTGCACATCACAGGAAATAATCAACAAGTGAAGAGACAATTTAAAGAATGGGAGAAATTATTTGCAAAATATGTATCTGACAAGGGATTAATAACTAGAATATATAAGAAACTCAAACAATTCAATAGTAAAAAACCCCAAATAATCTGATTTAAAAATGGGCAAAAAATCTGATTGATGTTTCTCAAAAGAAGACATAAAAACAGCTAACAGGTACAGGAAAAAATGTTCAACATCACTAATCATCAGAGAAATGCAAATCAAAACTATAATGAGGTTGGGCCCGGTGGCTCACGCCTGTAATCCTAGCACTCTGGGAGGCCGAGGCAGGATGATTGCTTGAGGTCAGGAGTTTGAGACCAGCCTGAGCAAGTGCAACACCTTGTCTCTACAAAAAATAGAAAAATTAGCCATGCATGGTGGCATGTGCCTGTAGTCCCAGCTACTTGGGAGGCTGAGGCAGGAGGATCACTTGAGCCAAGGAGTGTGAGGTTGCAGTGAGCTATGATGATGCCACTATACTCTATCATAGGCAACAGAGCGAAGTCCTGTCTCAAAAACAAACAAAAAAACAAACAAACAAAAAACTGTAATGGGTATCATCTTACCCCAGTTACAATGGCTTTTATCAAAAAGACAAAAATTAACAGATGCTGGTGAGGATGCAGAGAAAAGAGAACACTAGTATACTTTTGTTGGGAATGCAAATTAGTACAGCCATTATGAAAAACAGTATGGAGGTTCTTCAAAAACCTGAATATAGAACTACCAAATGATCCAGCCATCCCACTGCTGGGTATATATCCAAAGGAAAGGAAATCAATATGTTAAAGAGATATCTTTGCTCCTATGTTTATTGCAGCACTATTCACGATAGCAAGATATGGGATCAACCTAAGTGTCCATCAACAGATGGATAAAGAAAATGTGGTATATATACACAGTGGAATATCATTTATCCATAAAAAGAATGAAATACTGTCATTTGCAGCAATATGGATGGAACTGGAGATTATATGTTAAATGAAACAAGCCAGGCACAGAAAGACAAATATTGTATGTTCTCACTGACATATGAGAGCTAAAAAAGTTGACCTCATGGAGATAGAAGGTAGAATGGTGGTTACCAGAGGCTGGGAAGAGGAGGGGAGAGTGGAGAAGAAGAGAAGTTAGTTAATAGGTACAAAGATAAAGTTAGGAGTAAGTTCTAGTATTTGATAGTATAGTAGGGAGACCATAGTTAACAATAATTTATTGTATATTTCAAAATAGCTAGAAGAGAAGAATTAGAATGTTCCCAACACAAAGAAAAGATAAATGTCTGAGGAGATGGATATTCCAATTACCCTTATTTGATCATTACACATTATATACATGTATCAAAAATACCACATGTACCCCAAAATATGTACAACTATTATATATCAA